TTGAGAATGATGAGGGCAATGAATGTACAAATGTGCTTTACACAATTGATGTATGTATGGATTGTGATAAGAGTTGTATGAGCCCCTAATAAAATGCTTTAAAAAAAGATTTTTTTTAAGAAGGTCTGCCTTGAGTAGCAGGTGCTCTAAAGATCTGATTTGGTTTTCAACATTTTCTGTATTTTTGTTTTGTTTGTACATATTAGGGTGTATCTCAGAGGTGTCATGTCATTGGAGGTCACCCTCTTGAAGTTGTGTTATATATTTTCATGTGCTTCATTATATGAAACCCAGGAATGATGAATCTATAGGGACAACAAATAGAATGAGGGTTTTAGGGGATGGGTACGGTGTTGGGGGGAGGGCGGTAAAGGAGTCCAGGAAGAAAAAGAATGTTTGGAAACATATTATGGGTAGCAATAAAACAACTCTGCTTGATGTGATTGAACTATGAAATAATGTATGTATTAACTCCCTATTAATACATTTTTTAAAAAGGAAAATCACATAAAATTATTTAAAACAAAGAATTAATGTGCAGTGAGGAAAATTGCAATAATTATTTAAGGTTCAAAGTTGAATAAAAAACTGGCATATACCACAAATAAAAAGGTTCATGTCTGCCTCAAAAGTCTAAAAAAGAAGAAGAAGAAAAGAACTATCTATAAGGGATCAAAGGGAAAACAACTTAGACCTTACAGTTAGCAGCCTGACACGTTACCCACTACGCCACTGAGGCTCCCACTTAGAATATTAGCTAGAAGCCTCAGGGACTCGCAAGTTCATGTGAATGAGGAAAGAACAACTCGGAAAAGAAGGGTGAGATGAAGGTACAACTTGCATGTCATCAGTGTCACGACATTGCACTTGGAGAACTGTTGAACTGGTGTCTGCTTTGCAGGGTTTGTTCTCAACAGAAGCAACAAAATAAAGGTTAGGAAAGACGGACGGAAGGAAGGAAGGAAAGAAGGAAGGGTCTCCAACAATTGCCAAACAAAATTGTCAGTTTCTTGACTTTCTAGAAAGAAAATAAGAGGCAGCTGAGGGTTTTGCATTGATTCTTGGCTTTTGTAGATAAACTAGGCCGCCTTGCTCGGACGGCGATCTAAAACTGCTTTTACGTGGGGCATCGGTGTGGGTGACACTGAGAGGAACAGCACCGGGGTGTAACCTTTTGGAGAGCCTGTGGGACGGAGTTTAAAACACAGCAATATTAGGGCTGCCAAAGACTCACTCTCTGCCAAGAAAGGTTGGTCCTCCTGGGGGTTTCCCTTTAAAAAATGATTTTAAAAGACTTCACTCAAAGGAGCATGGGCCTAAGATCTGAGTTTCAATCAGATGAAGGCAAAAGAGTGATGAGGGTGGCCCAAAGGGAAGGGAAGTCTGTCAAATTTAAGTCTAAATTCCAAGCTTTCAACCCACAACTTGTGTGGCTGTGAGGCTGGTTGCCCAGAGAAACAAAACCAGGGTTGCACCTATATGTAGAAGAAAGAGCTTCATACCAAGGAGCGATTTTATATCAAGAAGGCATCCCAGCTCCGTCCAACTCAAGCCCATGGTCCCATACTAGCTGAAGCCCTCTGCAGATGCACGTAGCTGCAGGGAAATGATGCACAGGGGAGAAGCGGGAAGCAGGGACATCGCTGTCCAGAGGGTGCAGTCACGTGGATCTAAGTTTCGTGGGAATGTGGCAGGGCACTGACAGATGCCAGCATGGCTCCCAGAGTCCATGGCCCACATAGGGCCACCCCTGGAGACAGACACAGGA